CGCTGCACAGGCAACGGTAGATGCATGATATACCTACACCGTACATTTGCAGCAAGACTTCTTGGGCATCCCCAGCTAACGAATGTTCCCGAATCTCTTTGATTGTCCGTCTCAGGCACTGGTTCTCACATTCTACTCGAATGTATTTAAAATCCGCCAACTGCGTCAAACACGAGTGTTACCACCATCACTTTAGGTTTCAAATTTGCTGCTGAGCTGCCACACAGACAGACGATGTTAGCCTACCAAAAGTTAGCTGGTCCTCCCTACCATCCTCGTCTACACATACCTCTTTCATTTCCTGTCTCAGAATTAGTGGGTGGATAGTGTGGCTTACTGAACCAACAAGAGTGACCAGTATACTCAGATGTAAATGTTATATATATATATATATATATATATATATATATATTGCAACGGTCTTTGAATAGACATTGAGCCATCGGAAACCATGGAACTCAAAACAAGGTACAGAAATAGTAAAAGAAAACACGACACAACACATCAAAGTCCATGGTTTCGTCAGAGGGCAAGATACTACCTGGTTGCCCAAGCCGAAGTAGGGTGTTGACTTAGGAGACACTACCCCGAGCCTTTGGCTGAATAGCCTGCCTGCAAGGCAGCCGAGTAAATTCAGGGAATCGCGCCCATTGTGAGCCGGTGACTGATTACTCAGTTCATACGCCTTTCGTTTGTTCCTTTGTCAAACAGGGGCCCAATGCTCCCCAGAAGTACAGCATGACGTTGCTGGAATACAATGCTTCGCCAGGATGAAGCAAGGGGCAGTGACTTTATTTAGTGGCGAGTCACATCCGCCATCTCACAGTGTTGTTAAACGGACATATGTGGCTTTTTATAGGAGGAACGCTTGCCAGGCGAAAACCCACCACGTCCTGGAACACTGCCGCCGAACCATTTGCTGGAACGGGAAAATTCTGAACCACCCAGCTGGCACCACGAGGAGGTTGTTCGGCAAGCCATCCCAAACCCCTTGTAGTGACCACAAGATGGTGCGATTCATTTTCTGCATTAAATCGGCATCCAAACACACCTTTATTCCGCAATATGCAACATATAGGTTGAACTGAAAGCAATTCCAACCATTAATCCGATTGGGACGCATTCTTTCTCTCTAACAATGTGTGCACTGCTGTGGACTATTTCTTCCATCGGGTCCATCAGGCCATTACTGTTCTTACTCCCCAATGCAAGGCGATCACACGTGTCCAAAAAGACGCAATCGTGCGTCCAGTCAGCCGGTAACGCAGAAGACTAGTTGCTGAATGCAGAAAGACGGGAAATTTCACTTTGCTTTTACAGTTGCACCACATCATGGACAGGGTCGAACACCAACAGTTGACGAAGAGGATACACGAAGAACAAATGGCTCTACGAACTACATGTAAAACGAAAGAACTTGTTAAAATTCTGCTTCGCTTAACCAATTACCACTCCCCTTTGATCGATGGGGTGGTTAATGCAGACGAACAGTCCGTTCATGATCCAACCAACATGAGCCTGGAGACGACCCAGTTAAATGTATGCATTGGAGTGCAAACAACCAACGCCTTGTGTGAAAATTGAATTTTCTGTTCGTGCTATCCAACAAGTAATGAATTCTACCAGACAGCTTTTCCATATAGATTCCGATGGTATCCCACCAGCCATCATGAAACTGGGAGGGCCTGTCGTGCCGTTGTTATTGCTGAACATGTTTATCCTTTTGTTGCAATCAAGATACTTTCCAGACCAGTAGAAAGCATCTCTAGCATCCCCCGTCAAAAGCAGTGCTCAAAACAAGAAATTAACGATTACCGACCCATCCATCATACCACGGTACTAGCAAGATTGTTAACGAAACTAGTCAAGAAAGGTGTTATGAAATTCACCAACATGCTGTAGCTGATCGACTGGTCCCAGCATGGTCTCCTGGACAAACGATCGTGCATAACCTGCCAACTGCATTATCCAAACCATGTTTCACGTTCTGTGCCTAGACATGAAGAAGGCATTCGATCGAGTGCCCCGCAGACGTCTGCTGAAAAAGAATCCTTCCTTTGGAATTCAGGACCCACTTCTAGGCTGGCTATTGTCATACCTGAGCGGTCGCTCTCAGCTAGTTATCACAGTCGACCACCACACTTCACCACGTGCAATCACTAGTGTTGTTGTTCAAGGGAGTGTACTTGGTCCGTTACTGTTTCTGCTCTACGTCAATCACATCAGTGCGGCTATTAGACGTGGCATGTCTTTCCTATTTGTAGATAGTCTACAAATTCCGACTAGCTGAACTTCAAGATACACTACTGCTCATACAGGAAGACCTCCACTCCCTTGAGACATGGTGTGACACCTGGATGATGAAGTTCTCGGCGAAAAAATTTAACATCATGTATCGCGGCTGTTCGATACCCAAGGTATCAATTACGCTCAACGACGAACACCTCTTTGTACAGCTGTCTACTCCCGGCCTCAGAACCAGGTATTGCTGTACTTTCAACACTTCCGAACAAGTTGAATACCAGCTGGCCTGGGCCAGTAAATCAGTGGCTAACATACTGTATAAGATCAGCCATGACCCCAGCCAGAGTAGAACTCTTCAAAATCCTCAACTACAGCATCTTGGTAAATCGCAGTGTCATTTGTGACAGTATGAGAAAGTCGGACAGAGTATCACTGGAAAGTATACAAAGATCATTTACCGAACGTATGCTAGGCAAAACTCACTATCGGGAGCGCTGCCAACAATTTCAGCTCGATCCTATGAGGACCCTATGAAGATTGAGAAATAACCTGATGCTTCTGTACAACATGATTCATCGAATCGCCCAGTCCTATTTGTCTTCCGTAGAACTACAACATAGTTCGACAAGGGAGCTACGCAATAAATAGTTTATCCTGAGTGCAGGGTAACTCTGCGGTCTAAATATTTCTTTCTCTGATATGCTGTCCTGTGGAATAGGCTCCCAGTCAAAATCAGATCGTGTGAGAGCGCAACGGCCTTTCGAGTTAAGCTCACCAAGTACCTAGATTTGAACAAGATTATGACCTTGTTCTCTTGGGAGAGATCACTTGGTGATTTATACCAAGAAGGGCCAGACAACATCTAATGAATAAAAAAAATTTTCATACTGTGACACACCGCTAGTGCGGTTCCCATTCACTATTCCAACTAGTGCCCATTGTGTTGAAACACACCTATGAGTTAATACAAACCCTTGAAACAGCGAAACCAATGGAAATCACACAACTGTTTACCATTCATGCATGAGCATGACATTCTATAAAATATGCTCTGTGCCAAATATGGACACCTTTTCTCACTCGATGGGAAATATACCTATTCTTATTATTACTATCATTATTATTATTAACGTGTTCCACCTCACGGTTGACTGCGCAGACTGTGGTGTTTGGAATTTCATTTATGTCGCCTGTCTCGGTATGTGCTCGAGGTCGTTAAGCTGTGTACTTGCATTTGTCGGTTCATAAAATCAATCTACCGAAGGCCCGTCTTCTCGCTCTTTCTCGGGTTCGGATGTCACTGGTGAACGTACGAATCGCGCCCGCGCGCGCGGGCGGGCGGGCACAACCATTCCTACAGACCGTGCTGTTCGCTTTTTGAGTAGAACTCTCACGGACCGTGTCGTTCGTCACGACTAAGCAAACCTTCATAAGCAGGTCGTCTTAACCATTATGATGTGAGTCGTGCTAATTGGACTCACCGCACCTTGGTTAACAACTCATATTTGATCAATAATACCAAATGGTTCCGCCTTTCTGGGTAGCTGTATTACTTCTAGCAGTAATCTCACGGTTGAGGGTACTGCAAGCATTGCTCATATACGTACAGCTTTTTAAACCCTTCCTCACTTATGGCGACGGCAGGAAAGCTTTACCTCGCCATCGTAGGCAACTGTATAGTTTATCGTGAGTACTTTGCAGTGGCTTTCAAACCAGACAATCTTTCACGCATCCAGCAAACCACTAGATAATCGTTTCGTCCCATTAGAGTTCGTCAGAAGTGCGCTTCACTTGGTTGATGTTTGTTGTCTTCCTGAATGTGGTCATCTGGACCCCGGTCACGTCAGTAATTAGAGTACGGCGCGGACACAGGACCAGTGGCGCCCTCTCATTTGTTTGTTCACGTCGAACTCTTGACTATGCCGTTTGATGACTTAGGTTCTCGTACATTTGTCCTGCGTTATTATTATTATTACTCCGAAGCATTGCCTTCCCTTTACCATTTTAAATGGTACAATGGAACACGTATGTTGCATGCTGGTATCATTTCCTGCTCTCTGATCACATGCAGGCGGGCAACATACTCATCGATCACTCAGGTAGAGAATCAGTACTTTGAATGCTAGCAGAAAAGTGGAGGATGCACATTACAACACAGATCACAGCTGAATCACAAGTTGTGAAACAACTGTTATATTCATCACGCAAGTTTGTGTGTGACAGTCAGCTGTTTTTACACACATACACACACACGTCAAGATGCTTGCGATTAGTTGGCATGACCTTTGCGACCTTTACTATTTTAGCGTCCATATTGCGGTAGATAACCATAAACGTTGAGTTCGAGTCAACTTCATTACCTGTACTTACTTGGTGACTAAACCATCGGTGAAGCTCTCTGACTGCCGCTGGCGATGTGTATTAAGTCAACTGCGTCTATCGCACCACGGTGCACGGCACATTGTTATTCAACTGAGCCGAACTGAATCGACCCACTCAATGCTATCAATAATGGTATCAGCTCAATGTGGTCAGTTCTCCAACTGTCTGTCGCCACGAGGTGCGCCTGTTCGTCCAATTTGCATACTTTCACCCTATTTGATCACGTCGCTCAAATACTAAGCGTTATGCATCCGTCTGCGAACTCTTGTGCACACTGATTCATATCGACATATACATACTCGCCACCTTCGCCTTTCTCACACTTTCTCACGTCCATTTCCGTTTTTACACCCCTCCCCCCCTCGTCGTCGCAGGTCATACTCAATCGAGATACCAATGTGCAATGTGATCCGAACTTGCTGCCACAACCAGACCATGTGATGGTAAACCATATGTATGCTCTTTCTATCAAGGTGAGTTAGCGGGATTCCTCCGGAATTTCAAATTGATCACGAATTTCTTCACCAAACTTAGCTTACGTAGGATTGTATTTTTTACTGCCTTAATCTTATCATGTCTACTCATTTTCGTTATTGTTTTTGCAGTATTAATCTCCCTGTTTTAATACTCCGGTACTTCTTTTACCCGTAGTATCACTTTGTTTTCGGCTTTCTAATCGTACTGCTTGTCGTTTTGCATTCTGTCTGGATTCCTAGAGCACCTAAGGAAATTGGCGCCCCTTGGACATCACTATTTCATCTTATATACCTTTATTACTACAAAGTATACCCTACTCCTGCATTGAGTCCGCTTATCACATTTCTAGTTGCTTATGTAATCAGTTTATTCGAAGAGTCCATCGCAATGAGGCTGGACCTTACCGTGGTGCGATGGTTTGTGTGCCTCAGTGATCCATTGAGCTATGCTGGGTGGTGCGTTTTTGCACCTTCAGAGCTACTCATACCAGATTGGTCAATGGTTAGAGGCCAGACAAACTCAGCCTCCTGATCCTCCAGGTTGGGAGTTTGAGTGAGGATGGCTCCTTATTCCTTAAAACGGACTCTTTGTAGCCCAACGCCAAACCCGCTGCTTTGTGGTAATGTTTTTGAACCAAATGTTTTAGTTGAGAACCCTAATCGTTCTCCTGTCTAGGCCTGGGCAACCTGACAGTATCTTGCCCACGCAATACAATGAATTTCTCCTCAAACAGCTTCTTGATGCTCTGGCCACCGCAGAGGATAATCAGCGGTGCCCTATCTGCTGCATCGAACAGGGTGGATAGGGGTTTGGATGCTACTGCTCAAGCCTTCCCGTCTTCTTATTCCCCTTCTTGCGCTTTTTCACCCTTATCGTCCCGTTCCAGCTTTACTTTTATCCCCCCTGTTTTCAACCCCCCAATACTTGGCCCTCCTCCACCTTGTTTTGCTAGGCTTTTACCTTATAGTTTCAACTCACATATGAACGCGGAGTGTCATTCCTGTCCTGTCGACAAGCCCATGTCCAACCAAGCGGCCAAGCCCAGTTCATCGACCCATCTTGTGCCCTCGATCATCCTTCAGATTGGCATGCCTCAATGTATTCACATTGCTACAGATCGGTCAACAGGCAGCACTTGCCCGAACATTGGAGACCCTCTCGATCGATATCTGCTGCTTATCGGGGACTCGCCTGCAAGACTCGAGCTCTGTGCTCACTGTACGATCCCCTTCAAGTGACACCAGCAGCACCTTCTCATTGCGCCTATCCGGTGACGATGCAGCTTCGAGCACCGGCCAGGCCTGTGTTAGAATCGTCCTGAGTCCCCGGGCTGAAGCTGCTCTGGTTGACTGGGTTCCAATCAGTAGCCGGATGTGTGCGGTCCGATTGGCTGGCTCGTTCAAAACTTCGAAGTCGCGTGGGACTAACAGGTGTCTATTCATCATCGCTGCTTATGCACCCACAAACTAGCGATGATTCGGTAAAAGACGACCTCTATCGTCAACTGAACGAGCTCCTTCGCCACAGAAGAAGCTCGGACACTGTAGTGCGGGCTGGGGATCTGAACGCTCAAGTTGAAAAATTCTCCATTGATGAACTACATCTGGCGGCCAACACGTATAGGCTCCCGTAATGATTATGGTGAGCGGTTACTTCATTTGTGTGAGGATGCTCGCTTATTTCTTGTGAGCATTAATTTCCGACGCAGCACCCGCCGGAAGGTGACTTGGCGCCCCCCAAGCCTCGAACCAGCTATGGACGAAAATCGATCACATAGCGATAAGTTACCGATGGAAAGGCTACGTCCAGAACTGTCGCTTGATTTCGAGCACAGGTGTGGACACCGACCATACACTTGTGCTGACATGCGGATGCGTTTTGGCGGACGCCCACGACGACGTTGTGAGTGCATTGACACCAGCCAGCTGGCGAAACCAGCTGTTCTGAATGCCTATCAAAGTACGGTGTCATGCGAGTTGAATAAGCGCTCAGTGGATGCAATTGAAGGTCACTGGTCTCATATTCACCAGTCCTTACTACCAGCAGTCAGATCCTCATATGGTAAGTCTAATCGCCAACATGGACATTGGGTCTCTTCGCAGCCTCTAGAATTTATCGATGCTCGCCGGCATATTCCGGCTGGAAGCGAACACAATGAAACTCGCAAAGAGCTCCGGGCAAAACTTCGTGTTAGTCGGAAGAGAGACCGAGAATCTTGCTGGTCTCATCGTGCGTCAGAGACGGAAGTGGCCGCTGCCCTTGGTAACCATCGTAAGTTATTCCGTCTAATACAGGAAACGGGTAGCAGAAGACCTGGGGTTAGTGAAACTATACGTGACGAGAGTGGACAGCCTATCCACAACTTATCAAAACACTTGGAACGTTGGGCTGAGCATTTTGAAAAGCAAGCTAATTGGTCGGAATTGTTAGATTTCTCGCCGGCCGCTGATAGTCCCGCTCCGTGGGCTGTCCCTTTGGATCCACCCTCTCGCTCAGAAGTCGAACGTGAGGTCGCAATGTTGAAGTTAAATGAAGCCGCGAGACAAGGTGATCTACCTCCAGCTCTCTTCAACTTCGGTCGACATGTTATTGTGGATGATGTACACGAGTTACTAGTGAAACTGTGGGAGCAGAAAACTGTCCCAACCGACTGGAGCTGCTCCGTCATAGTCCCAATTTTCAAAGGAGGCTTACGATCGGAATGCGGCAGCCATAGAGGAATCAGTCTGATCTCCATCGCCTCCAAATTGCTTGCCTCTGTCATCCTTCACAGACTGACTGCCACGCGTGAAAGCCAGATTCGTTAAGAGCAAGCTGGATTTCGTCGAGGTCGTGGCTGCATTGACCACATCTTCACTTTGCGTCAGTTGTTGGAGCACCGTCACATATATTGGCGGCCCACCGTTGTCGTGTTCCTCGATATCAATGGTGCGTTCGATTCGGTGGATAGATGTGCACTTTGGGACTGTCTACTCAGAAAAGGTGTAACTGAGAAATTTGTAAATATTATCCGAGCATTATATGCGCTTAGCTCGGGCAGAGTGAGGGCTTACGGCAAGTTGTCGTCGCCCTGTAAAATCTCCAGCGGTGTGAGACAAGGATTCCCGCTGTCACCTTTCCTCTTCAACTTCGCTATTGATGAAGTCATGGAAATCGCGTTCACAGGGCACGACTTAGAAGGTGCGGATCTGCTCCCAGGAAAACGACTTATTGACAGAGTATGTTGATGATATTGCCCTAATCTGTGACAGCACATAAACGTGCCAACCTGCACTGGACAGATTAGCGCTAGCTGTCCGTCACTTCGGGCTTTGCTTTGCACCATCCAAGTGCAAAGCGTTTCTCCAAGATTGGTCTGGACCGCCTCCTACGCTGACCGTTGGTGGGGATCAGCTAGAAGTCGTTCAAAAATTCAACTACCTGGTAAATTGTATCAGCGCCTGTGGGATTGAAGATGAGATCACGAACCATATAGCAAAAGCTCGGGGCGCTTTTGCTAACCTTCGCCACTTATGGCTCCGGCACGACATCACTCTTGCCCTGAAGAGTAGAGTGTACAGTGTAGCGATACGTTCGACCCTACTGTACGGTTGTGAAACCTGGCCCCTTAGCGGACATAAAGAGACTAGTTACGTCCGACCACCGCTGCCTTCGCAATTTAGCTCACATCTGATGGGAATACCGCGTGAGCGACGAGCATGTTCGACGCCTTGTTTACTGCACAGGAAAAGGAAATGAAGCGCTCAGCACCGTTATTTCCCGCACCAGGCTCCGATGGCTCAGCCACGTGTTACGCATGCCAGCCCACTGATTTCCGTGACGTGCGTTGTTTGCTCCCCGGGGATGTGGATGGAAGAAGAGGAGAGGTGGACAAGCGATGACTTAGTCGAGAAGGGTGAAGGCCCTCACTTCGAAGCTGACCTCAGGTGGAGCGTCCCGGCTCCCTGGTTGGGATCCAAAAGACGGTGGACACGTTTGGCTGGATACACTTGCTGACATGGCAAGGAGCCGACCTCAGTGGCTTTCGTGCTGTGAGTTTCTTTGTCCCACCCCATCCCTCTTAGCCTCCTCCATCTACGATCTCATTATTTAATATTTTATAATTTTGCGTATGAAATGGCTTTTTTGCTGCAAAGTAGCCGTCAGATAGCTTATCAGAACGATGCCCATCCGTTACCGGTAGCTCAGCTGGCTTGCACCTGTAGCATTTTATTCCCTTCTTTCAGGTACTGCGGCACAGTAGCTGAGGTGTTTCCCACATCTAGCTAACGTGTATAGTGTGTGTGTGTGTGTGTGCGTGTTATTTGAAGAGTTGCGCTAAATCGACCATGCTCACCGTGCGGTCAAACACGGCTAACTGTTAAGTATTAAATTGCGCTACGGATGCGGTCCCAGTGACCAGAATCACCTAGGTTCACTTCAATTCAAATCGCGGTCCAGATTGAGATTGTGTCCCACAGTCCAGACACAGCGACACTCAATAACCCAATAATCATTAATTTAAGTACAAATTTTAATTCCCTTGTATATTCTTCAAAATCCAGCAGCGTCTGAATAGCCCATATTCAAGGTGATTAAATGGGATGTGTTCTTTTGGTAGTTGACAATGTCTGTTTTCCTCCAACCTGTCCTACTCGTCTGCTCCACGACTCAGACATTGCCAAAACCATTACTGCTGTTGTGCCCATCGCAACTGGTTTTTCGAACCTTTTAAATTTTGGAAACGTTGTCAATATACATGATCGACTACACCCATTCCTTCCGCAGTAACCTTTAGTCGATCTGTTTTTGCCACTTTTGGGGCACAGATTGAGATTGTCTAGCATTATACGCTATCCTGTGCATTACAAATGAAAAAAACCAGACGCTTCTCTCCTACCTTTTTCAACATAATTGTTCGTTGCTCTATCTCTCTACTTTTAGGACGGCGTGATTGTTCTCTCTGCCATCACACGTTATCGGCAAAAATTCGTCTCCACCGTGCTCTACAAACCTATTTGAACACGGGACCCAGGGCGCGCCACTCTTCCTCCTTATTCTCTATTCCCCCAGACTTGTGATTTATCATCTATGACTAGCTTCTCTTCGTCTTTGCTCATCTCCCCCAATACCCCTGCCTTATAGCTGAGTTTCCTTTTCTGCACACACACACACACACACTGGTGCTCTCATCTGTAGTTGTGATGGCTCGATTGTTTTGCCTCCTTCTCCGACTTCACACATCCCACACGGGTGTCTATTTGTGACTAGTATCTCCAGGACATCACTTTAATCCTCTGTGCCCCCCCTCATTCTCCATACACCGATCTTCACTGTACCCCACAGATAGACTGGTCCAGTGCAATATTGTTCGCACACACGACCGCGTTCAATTTCTCCTCAGGCTTATTATGATCTCGTTTTGTTGGCATTCTTCTGTCTCTGCCACTGCGTTCGTTGCTTTTCTGTTGCATTGGTTCGCTTGCTATTTTCGTTATACTTCCGCACGCACAGCAAAAGCAACGCGGCAAATGCACTTTTGATATCTTCACCGCCTTTGTTTGCTCGTTACCCACGTTCTTGCCACGAATTTTGAAGGTTGTGCTTTTCGCCACTGTTTTTTTCTTTGGGTGTTATTTCTGGAAGGTTATTTGTTCCACTTCAGCACAGTCCTGTTCAATGCTTACTGTATACTTTCATGACACGGCTTTTATAGTGTCCCTGTCCCGTTTGCTTACGTCACCGCATTGCTCTTCGTGCGATGATGGAACACGCCCAACGCATCCGGCGGCTAAGCCACGTACTTTACCCCGAAGCGCGTTATGCACTTCACTCGGTAATATGGTTGGTGGCATCCGGTTCCGGATTTGCCTTTCACTGCATTACTCCACGGGGACAGTCACAAGACACCTGCGCCTACAGAGGGACCATGGATGGCTTGCGCTGCACCACCCACAGCTCCAACCACATACCCCATATCCAGTGTAAACCCGAAGGAATAAGACCGGGAGGCATGCGGATGGGAACCACGTTTCATCAACGGAGCCGGCCCACACTCCTTCACAGGCAAACACAAGCACGCTGTATTTGGGTATCAAGCGCACACATCACAGTGGCTGGACCGTAGTTCACTCCACACTGAGTGCATGGAACCGCTCTTTGAGCCTAGCACGGTCACAAGGACCGTGCACCCCGTCCCCTCCAGCAACGACCAACTGTCTGCTGGAGCCAGTATGGACGAGGTAGTGGGTAATAGACAGGTGGGCACCTTGTCAACATGTACATCAAGCGCAGCCACACCTGGGATGTCAAGCAACAGCCGGTCATTTGCAATGACAGGCTAAAATGAAATAGATCAAAAACACCGTACGGATATGCCGACATAACTGCGGTAACTTAGCTTAAAAACTAAATGGATTATCAACATATCCGCGATAAATACAAGATTCCAGATCAGGAAAACATGCTCAATAAACGGGAAGCAATAGACGGAGTTAATCACCTTTCGTTTAAGCAGCAAGTGTGATGCTGAGACATTGGCTCAGGGTATTTGTGGTGTCACTGTCGCATTCAGCAGACCTCCTGGATATCGGTGAAAATCGCATGCGTGCATTTCGACTTCCAATCTCTATTGAGGTTAATATACACCGTGTGAAGACAAGGTGTCTTTACATCGCCTCCGTTTATGCGCCTCTACTGTTGTATCGCCGCCGACTCTTCACACCCCTCCACGACCGCAAGAAGAACACGATTTGTATGCATGGGAACACTGTTTCCTTCCATAGATTACAGTATTGGCTGAAGCAAAAAGCTACCGAAACACATTGGAGCCAACCAACGCAATAGAAACAAAATAATACTACGGGCGAATGAGAAGTGGCAAAAGGGAGAACTAATCAGGCGAGTTCGAGGAAATGGCATTGACGGAACTAGACCCATGAGATGACATCCATTTCGAACGACGTGGGCCGTCTAATCAAATCGAGGTATTTATGCGTTTAAACAAGTGCCAAGAAACAAGCGGTAGCAGAACGAATGCAGGCAACTAAGAATTGGCTCGAAATATTTGGAATCCACGCACTGATCCTTAAGTTCCCATCGGTCATCATTTCGCCTTCTGTAACTGAGCTCTTCAACAGGTCACTATCCACTGGACTATTACCGGACGACTGGAAACGCTCAGTCGTAAAGCCAATACCAAAAGGTGGTAACCCAAGCAAAGTATCTAACTACCGTCCGATCTGCCTGGTCACTGTTTTGACGAAGACGCTCGAGAAGATCGTGAAGCAGAGTCTTCTGCAGCTTCTTGAGTCGAAAAGTCCTTTGATCCCCGCATAGTATGGTTTCTTGAATGGTCGCTCGTGCATCACCAACCTACTGTTGACCAGCAAGGAATGGTTACAATCGCTGAACCAAGGCAAGTCGGTCGACGTCATTCACATTGGCTTCAGTAAGGCTTTTGACAAAGTGAATCATGCAGTGCTCCTCGACAGGTTGAGGGTGTGCGATGTTGGCCGCTCACTGCATCGATGGATCAAGAATTTCCTTGTTGATCAAAAGTGGAGGATCCAGGTGGACAACCATTTGACCGACTGGTATCCATCGATCAGTGGCCTGCCCCAAGGCACTGTACTGGGGCCGATTTTGTTTCTGATCCATTGTATACGATGTGCTTCAGTTACTCCGTTCACCTTGTGCATTGTTGACAGATGACTTGAAGTTGTGGAGAGTTATCCGCACGCCCAATGATTGTGACCTGCTTCAGCAAGACCTCGACCGCCTCTCCACGTGGTCTACAGAAGTCAACCTTCCGAGCAACCCGGTCAAGTCGCAGTTCATGTGGCTGGGTAAGTGTGAGCGCAGTCGAACCTAGACGATGGCCGGTCAACCGTTGCATCCCGTGCCTTTTGTGCGAGATCTCGGTGTACTCTCCCGCTGCGACCTAAATTCCATGGACAACACGAATAGGCTTTACCAGCACAGCCTTCGTATGCTTTGGGCTCTCAGGCGCAGCTTCAGCACTTAGTCCGAAGAGATCGTCACTCGCCACTTCGTTTCAATAATATGACAAATGCTAGAGTATTGCTCTCCAGCGTATTGTCCTATCACCCGGGGCTAGTTAGAGAAGATTGAGCGAGTGCAGCATATGGCCAGCGACTAAGAAGCTGCTGACGCGTGAACACGAAAGCGTCATATTGTCAAGACTAGACAAAACTGAGGGTATAATCCTTAGGGATAAATCTGAATATATAAGTCAAATGAGTGCAATACTTGATGATCCCTCAAAGTTCATAAAGGCCGAAAAGTAAAATACCAAACGCCAGCTATTGGAAAAGCTACATCTAAGTCACTTAGGTATATGAAGCAGAAAGATCTCATCGACTCGATAACCTTTGAAAGAACCCCTCCGGTCGGTATCGTGATTCCAAGATTATATGGGCTACCCAAAATACATAGCGTTGGCGCATCTTTACGACCAATTCTGTACATGAGCAATTCTCTGTACCACGCATTGGCAAAATGGCTGACCGAGTTACTTGAACCGATGAGACGGGAGTTAGTTACACACAGTTTGACTTTGTGGATACTGGAAATACCTGAATGTGAAACACAAGCAGCTCTTCTCCACTGGTGTCACTTCGCCATTTTGCAAATATCGCCGTCAAGGAGACAATTGATTATCTAGTCGAATACATTGAGAGCAAAGTCAAGCGGGTTGTTGGCTTACCAGTGGAGGAACTGCAGACGTTGCTTTACCAATGCACTCATAATGTGCAGTTTCCTTTCGCTGCACATTTAGATAAACAACGAGATAGACTAACCATGGGTTCATTTCTGGGTCCCTTGTTCGCCGACGTTTTCATGGCTAAACTGAAAAAGGCTCCACTAAATGAAATGGTTGAACGATTTCCTCTTTCCAAGCGCTATGTTCACGACGTTATGTGCTTAACGGACGATTCAGAAAATCAGTTTGAATTGTTAGGAAAATTAAATCAAGCGCATGAAACCATCAACTTTAGCATACAACCGGAGTCGGATGAAGGCATAGCCTTCCTTGACGTACAAATGTTGCATCAACTAGACGGAGCATTACAATATAGAGTTTATAGAAAATCAACATGATCTGATCAGTATACCCATTTTGATAGTTTTGTGCCACAACAACAGAAGCAAAACGTAATCCATTGCCTTACACAATGAGCAATGAAAATTTGCCCGGATGATACGATTGTACAGGAACGTGTGTAAATCAACGAATCATTTCTTAACCATGGCTACCCTGAGCCATTCATCGACAGAAACATGCCGATTGACCAACGAAGTGTTAAATTACCTACAGTAGAAGAGAAAAATGTGTACTTGTCATTGTGCTTCACAGGCGATAGCACAGCCACACTTATTAGTAGAAGACTCGAAGTGCAATTAGGAACATGTATTTCGCGGTTCAGCTACGAATCGTCTTCGCTTCAACACCGGTGACAACTCTTCAACTGAAGCATAAATTGTCTGTGGATGCCACCTCCGTTTGTGTATACTAATTTACTTGCTCCTGTGGGACAAGCTACATAGACCGCACCACAAGACGTTTAGCCGGATGTGTGCGTGAGCATCACCCAGCGTAGTTGACTCGGGGAATAAACAAAGCCTGCACAACTGCGATTGTCCAACACCTGGTGGGTACTAGTAACTCGGTTGTCATCACAAAGTTTTCCGCCCGATCTATCGCGTGAGGGGAGTCCGCTCCATACCGATCACGTGCCGCATAATTGCAATGGCAGAGGCGGTCGCCATCCATCTTAACCACCTCCCTCTATGTGTGCACAAGCAATTTGTGTGGACTGTGGCTCTCCCCTGGCCATCTGTCGCGCACTTAACGCTTGGTGTGACGACTACGATCGTGTGAACAAGTCAAAAATACAGCTGTCACGTCAAGTTTCTACCCCATTCTTAATAGGTGCTTTAATCTGTTCTATGATAGCTATTTAACTGTGTTACACTTAGCCTGATGATGAATCACCGAAAATGAGCTTATTTACTGACTTTTCATGGGTGGCACAAGGATTATCCACCATATAAGAATTTACTGTATGCTGAGATCCATTTCGCTTCGGATATTTCTCGGGAAAACTTCAAATCTCTCACCACTCCACGCTCCATTCATAGAGAGTGGAGCTTTCCGGTACCACATACGACTACGCCGATGCCCACGCGTGCCGATTAGTGTGTGCGTGCGTAGCAGCGGCCATAGCATAAACTGTAGTCACCCAAATGTAACATCCGATAATTCATTAGGAAATAAACTCGAGACGGGCGATAGGTTGAAGTAACCGAAGGTGGATGCACCACTAGCTGTGCGACTACATCATGTCCGATAACATCTCCAATTACTGATGTGGTTCAACTCGTCCACAAGGACAGCGTACGCCGTCGTTGCCGAGTCTTTCGGTTCATTTCTTCGTGCCCCTATACTACGACATAGGCTGGTCATTAGGTGACGCGGGGGCGTATAGTTTACGTAGCCTTAGGGATCGCAAGCCTACCTTGTAATCTGAGGGTGCGACCTTCACAGTATTCTTAGCCCACGTGCAACTGTTGGCGGTTGCGCGACAACGAAACCTCGGTACTGAGTACCGGCATACTGCTAATGCCTTTACACGTGGTGGAAGGCGACCAATGCGCACACGAAAGGTCTAACTTAGCTAACCTAGGTGCTTAAGCCCCAGCAAGTGAGGTACAAGTGTTTCACTCCAGAAACTGAGTGGTGAACTTC